CACTTGAGGTCAGGAGTTTGAGACCAGCCTGGCCAACATGGTGAAACCCCATCTCTACTAAAAATACAAGAATTAGCCAGGCTAATTGTGCACCTGTAGTCCCAACTATGCAGGAGGCTGAGGCAGGAGAATCACCTGAAGCCGGGAGGCAGAGGTTGCAGTGAGCTGAGACCACGCCACTGTACTCCAGCCGAGCAACAGACTGAGACTCCATCTCAAAACACACACACACACACACACACACACACACACACACATATATATATACATATACATAGTCAAACATGGATCCAAGGAAACTACCCAAGCCCAAGTCCAGGAAGAGAAAAACCTTAAAAGATTAAAAGAAAGGGCCCACTCAGCTCACAAATGACTGAGATAGCTCCTCTTCCCAAAAGGGAGAGTGAAAAGCCTCATAATCCAAAGAGTGTTTGTTAGAGTATAAGAAAGGACATGCTTCAATACTGAGGAAAAATTAATCTTAAACGAAATACTTCCCTAGTCCCACATGACTAAAGCTTAAACACAAGGCCCAAAATGATCAAAGTGTTTACAAGACAATGAACTGCATCCTAGAAAAAAGCTAAATACTACTTAAATGAAAATAAAGGTATCTAGCATGTAAGAAAATTAAATCCACCATGCCTGCTATCCAGTAAAAATGACTATGCAAGTATGATTCCATTGAAGTACAACATAAGGAACAGACAATACTTAAACAAATGAGTATGGTTATGTTCCAATGAAACATTATTTACAAAGAAAAGTGGCCAAATTTAGCCTGAAGACCATATTTTCCTGACCTCTGAGTTAAAACTTATACTACAAATCCTAAGGCAACTATTAAATTACACAATAAAGTGTTATGGATAATATTTATAAACCAACAGCAGAGATAAAAATAAAATTGTAAAAAAAAAAAAAAAAAAAAAAAGTAATTAAAAAGAAGCCAGGAGAAGAGGGAAAAAAGAACAAAGAACAAATGGGACAAAAATAATCCTGAATAGCAAGATGGTAGATTTAAATACAAGTGCAAAAATAATCGTAAAATGTAACAGGTCTAATATCCCAATTAGAAGACACACTCTCAGACTGGATAAAAAAACAAGGAAATTATGCTTCCTTAAGTACCACACATTAAATATAAAGACACAAATAGGCTAAGGTTAAAATATGAAAAAAGATATACCAAACTAACAATACTTTTTTAGAAAACAGTTGGAGTGACCATATAAGTATCAAATTAGATTTTGAAGAAAAGAACATTACCAGGGACAAAGTCAGTCATGTCATCTCATAATGATGAAGGGGTCAATTCATCAAGAGGGAATAATAACCCTAAAGGTTTATGTACCTAATAACAGAACTTTGAAACACATGAAACAAAAACTGACAGAAATTCAAGAAGATATATACAAATTCATAATTAAAGTAAAAGGTGTCAATCCTTGTCTCAAAAATTTGTAGAATAGGCATAAAATTAGAAAGAATATAGGCAATTTAATATCACTATCAAACAACTTGAAACAACTAAAAATCCACATTTATAGAACATTCCACCACCCAAAAATAGCAGAATACACATTCTTCTCAAGTGGACATGGAACATTTACCAAGATACATGATATTCTGAAGCATAAAGCAAATAAAAGTAAGTTTAAGAGAATTAAAGTCATACAATGTATGTCTTATGACCACAACAACATTACAGTAGAAATCAACAATAGAAAGATATGTGGAAGAATGCTCAAATATTTATAAATTAAGTGGACTTCTAAATATCCAATGGGTCAAAGAAATAGAAAGGAAATCATAAAGAACATTGAACTGAGAGAAAATAAAAGTGACACATAACAAAACTTGTGGGATGACCCTAAGGCAGTACTCAGAGGGGAATTTATAACACAAAACATCTACATTATTAGAAAAGAAGAAAGTCCTCAAATTAATAACTTCAGCTCCCATCTTAAAAACCAGAAAAAGAAAAGCTAATGAAACACAAAATAAGCAGAAAAAAAGATTAAAGCAGAAAACAATGTAATAGAAAACAGAAATAGAATACAGAAAAATTAATGAAACCAAAAGCTGTTTCTTTGAGAGTAATAAAATTGATAAAATCTCTAGTGAGGCTAAGCAGAACAAAAACAGAGTAAACATGAATTACCAACATCAAAAGTGAGAGCAGTGACATCACTAACAATTCCACAACTACAAAAAGGACAATAAGGGAATATTATGAACATTTTTATGCCAATAAATTTAGTAACTTTGATGAAATAGACAAATTCCTTAAAAGACATAAGTTATCAAAGCTCACTCCAAAAGAAATAACGCAAGTCTATTATAAAAATTGATTTTGTAGTTAAATACTTTCCTGTAAGAAAAACTTCAGGTTCAGATGCCTTCACTGGTGAATTCTACCAATCATTTAAGGGCAATTTATAATTGAATCTACACCAACTTTCCTAGAAAGTTAAAGAGGCAAAAACTATACCCAACTCATTCTATGGAGTCAGAATTACTCTAACACCAAAAATAGACAAAATAATACAAGGAAATTACAAATATCCCTCATAAAAATAGATGCAAAACTTCTTAACAAATTTTCAGCAAATATCATCCAACTTTATAAAAACGTTAATATATCAAGATGAAGTGGGGTTCATCCATAAATGCAAGGTTGGTTCAAAATCTATCAATCAATGTAATTCATCACAGTAAGACTAAAAAAATTATAATCTCAATAAATGAAGAAAAAGCATTTGAATAAATCTAAAATTGATTTCTGATTTTTTATAAAACTCTCAAAAAACAGTTACAGAAATCTTTCTCAACCATTGAAATCTATTTCTAAAAGCTGCTAGAAGTATTAAGTTTGGCTAGACTGTGGGAAACAAGCTCAATACACAAAAAATTGACTGTGTTTCCACCCAATTTAAAACTGATATTAGGAAGTCAACTCTATTTACAATAACATTAAAAACAGGATTTACTTAGAGGTAAATCTGACAAAAGAAGTGCAAGAATTACACTGAAAACAATACTGCGAGAAATTAAAGATGATCTAAATAAACTGAGAAAGATATCAAGTTCATGAATTAAAAGACTCAATATTACTAAAATGTAACTTATCTGCAAATTGACCTATACGTTCAATAAAATCCCAACCAATATCCCAGCAGGGCATTTTTGTACAAAGTGAAAAGCTGATTTTAAAATTGATATGGAAATGCAAAGGACCTAGAAGACCTAAACTTTCAAAAAGAAAAGCAAAGCTCAAGGATTTGCACTACCTCACTTCAAGACATATTATAAAGATACAGTAATTCAGACAGTATATAATTGTAATAAAGATAGACAAATGGACCAATGAACAGAATAGAGTATCCAGAAATAGGCCTTCATATATATGATCAATTGGTTTTCAAGAAAAATGTAAGGTGATTCAGGGAAGAAAAGACAGACTTTTCCAACAATGATGCTAGAACAACTGGATATCTATGTGAACAAAAGAAAAGGACTTCTATACATACCTATAACCATATACTAAAATGAACTCAAAACGGATCCTAAATCTAGATGTAAAATTCAAACTACAAAACCTCTAGAAAACATAACAGAAAATCTTTACCTGTAATTAGGCAGATATTCCTTATATAGAACACTAAAAACACAATTAATAAAAGGAAAAAAATCCTATAAATCAGACTTCATCAAAATTAAGAACTTCTGCTTTTCAATACAGTGTTAAGAGAATGAAAAGACATACTATAGACCAGAAGAAAATATTTCCAAATAACATATATGATCAAGGACTTACATCCAAAATATATGAAGAACTCTCAAAACTCAATAAGAAAACAAACATTCCAACTAAAAAAACAGGCTAAAAATTTAAACAGACATTTTACCAAGAGGATAGATGGCAAATGAGCTCATGAAAAGATGCTCAATATCATTAGTCATTAGTGTGACATAATTCAAAACCACAATGGGATACCACTAAAAACTAATCTAATGTTCAAAAATTTTAAAAGACTGACCATACCAAATGTTGGCAAGGATGTGGAGCAACTGAAACTCTCTTACGCTGCTGGTGGGAATGTACAATTTATATAATCACTTTGGAAAACAGTTTGGCAGTGTCTTTAAAAGTTAAACATACACCTAGCACATGACCCAGTCATTATACTCTTAGGTATTTACCCATGAGAAATGAAAACATATGATACAATCACTTGTACATGAATGTTTATAGCAGTTTTATTAGTAATATCAAAAACTGCAATGGCCCAAAAATCCATCAACAGGTGAATGATAAACAAATCATGATGTATCCATACAATCAGTAATACCACCCATCAATAAAAATGAATACTTAGTACATACAACATAGATGAATCTCAAAATAATTATGTTAAGCCAGACAAAAAAAAATGAATATACTATATGATTCCATTTATATAAACTCCTAGAAAATACAAACCAAATAGTGACAGAAAGCAGATTCAGCAGGGTTAGGGCAGGAAGACGGTATCACAAAGGGACACAAGAAAACTTTAAGGAATCACAGATATGCTAATTATTCTTATGGTAATGATGGTTTCACAGCTATATACAAATGTAAAAACTTATAAAATTGTATACTTTAGTATGTACAGTTTATTGTATGTCAATTATACCTCCATAAAGCTATTTTAAAATGAATAAACACTACTCCCAGAGGTGTTTAGGTAGCTTGAGTAGCCAAAGTCCTAGGCTTGCCCGTATCTACTTTATCCAGTTATTCATATTGCTCTTCTGCCTAAGAAAATGAGTAGCACATTGAGATGATAGAAAATGCCATTATCAGGCACATTACCAAATACTATGCAATGAAACAAACAGAGTAGTTACCATTTAAAATTTCAATAGGAAAAATGTAATTAGTGGAAGAACAAAAGTGATATTTTTCTTAGTTTTGTTTCAAGAAAATACAGTAAAAATGTACAGCTACTTACCTCTTTGGATAATCTTGTGAAAACATCTCCTCCCCTGAGAAAATCCAGTATTAAGTACAGTTTCCCTTCAGTCTGAAAGGCTAATTAAAAATTAGAATGTAGTAACAGGATAATCTCAAAGGCTTAAAAAGCTTAGTATGTTTTTAAATTAATATATGTTTAGAATTTCACAGTATTTACTCACATGGTCCATTAATGGATAACATCTCAAAATTAAACCCAGTGTTTAATCCAGTGTTGAAATAGCTATAAACCCCTTCCCAGAACATAATCACCCTTGAATGTGGCTTTACACAGAACTTCTACCACCAAAAACTTCCTAATTTATGAAGCATGTTCTACTGCAATTGCCTAAACTTAGCCTATCAAACCTACTGAAAATTTACGAATTCTACAAAGCTGAAGAAAAATGCCACTTCCTCTATTAAACTTTCCAGGATGTCTCCCTTTTCACATTTTTCCACAGCTTCCTTAACCTCTTCTTCATTGAAATTACTTGCTGCTACTTTTGAAATCTTATTATATTTATACCTCTTTAATAGTACTTATTCCATTTTGATTTGTACAATTAATTTCTTTACATCTCTGTGTTCTCTATAGGTTATAAATTTCTTGAGGTCAAAGAGTGTTTCATTTCTACAGTCCACTGAATTTAATACACTATTTTTGCACACAGTAAGCGTTTACTGATTGACCTACTACAGATTTGGGAAGGTCTTTAGATGTTACTTTTTTTATTCTGTTAGTATAACAAGGAGTAAAAGAATAATGGGTGGAAATTTCTTATCGGTTTTTAATAGTGATAATTGGGTATATATTTTAATGCATTATTTGTCAAAATTACACTAAGAATAAAATCAACGACTGCTACTTTTTTTAAATATAGAAAAATGGAAGTGATAAAGTACATTATATCTGAGATAGATAGATAGATAGATAGATAGATAGATAGACAGATAGATAGATAGATAAAGTTGATCTCATCCATATGTTAAATTAGCAATGGAGCCATGATTCAAATTGAGAAATGTCTAACTCCAAAGCTCATGTTCTTTCCATTACATCTACTGCTTCTTACTAGTAGTCCTTTTCCATTAAGTATAAAAAATAACTCAAGCAGACTAACATAACTACATGGTCCTCTAGAATATAACCAGGAAATAGATAAGTGTGGTCATTATGAACAAGCAACTGAATGTTTTACGTAAATTATCACAATACTTTATAGTCTAAGACTATGAAGTTACAGCCTAGTAGAGTACATAAATACTACCAGACAAGTAAGTGGAAAACACTATCTTGTTACTTTAAACAAGTTAACCAACTTGGAAAAATGAAGGACATACAACAAATAACTAAATACTGGTATTTATTTCAGAAAAATACATTTTACATAGTTGAATATACTAAATAAGTCTAAAGTATTTATTTCCTGTTATAGTATTGTGTGAAAGGAAATCATAATTCTCTAATTCCATATTAATAAATAAGGATTAAAATAAATAAAAGAATAAAAGAAAGATTACATACCATAGTGCAATTTGACAATAAATGGATGATTTACTTCCACCAGTATATCCCTCTCCATCTTTGTCCGAACTCTGTCTCGAACTAAAAATTACATAAAGGTACAATTTTTACTCTCATATCATTTCAATTAAGAGTCCATCAATAATTTACCAAACAACAAATATAAATACATAAAATGTAACTTCATAAATGCCTAAATTTGCAGTTTTCATATTCCTAGATAATAATGACCATATTCTCAGACAGCAAAAATATTCATTACATCTAGAGACAGGTTAAGGTGGCATAAATAGGTATGTAGCGAATATGCATTTATTATGTGTTCATCTTTTTTGGTTGTTGTTGGTGGTGAGACAGGGTATTGCTCTCTTGCCCAGGCTGGACTGCAGTGGCAAAATCTCAGCTCACTGCAACCTCCACCTCCCAAGCTCAAGCAATCCTCCCATCTCAGCTTCCCAGGCAGCTGGAACTACAGGTGCGTGCCACTACACCTGGCCCATTTTTGTATTTTTTGTAGAGACAGGGTTTCACCAGGTTACTCAGGCTGGTCTTGAACTCCTGGGCTGGGCTCACGGGTTCAGCCCGCCTCAGCCTCTCAAAGTGCTAGGATTATAGGTGTGAGCCACCATGCCTGGCCTATTGATCTCTTTAATTGTTCAAATGAGTTTACTGATTAAAAGTGATCATAAGCGGTATTTTTATCAGACCCTAAAAGATAGTGCGTGCAAATGGTTGTGCTTTCTCAAAATGTAATACTGACACAGACAGAAAAGGAAAAGTCAAGAATCTTGAAAGAAAAGAGTATAGCCCAATTAAGTTAATAAGCTTAAATTAAATGAAATATGTCACTTTTTCTAGCATCAAATTTTTACTAGGGTGCACTCTCACTAAGTTAAGGCATATGCCAATATCAAATCTAGTAATATTACCTACTGGCTAGAAAAACTGCCACAAATACCAATGTTAAAAATAGCTACATCTATTCACCTTATGCAAGTAATACACAGCATATTTCTTAAAATACGCTTTGCCAAATTCTATTTTAATAAACTTTCTAATTTTCTACCTTTTAAAGAGGCTTTTTTTAACACCTTCATTGCATAGAGTTGCCCAGCATCAGGACCGGTCTTCTTTCTAACAAGAAAAACCTAATAGAAAATTGAACAAAAAAAAAAAAAAAAAAAAAAAAAAAAAAAAAGGAAAATTCACATTTCTAGTCATTCTTGCTCTATACAAACACACCAGCATACACTTGTATCCTTGCATTTTCTCTAATTTTATAAACATATGCCTTCCCATAGAGGGAAAGGAGAGATAGTGAGAGATTTGTTGAAGGATGCAAAATTACCCTGATCTGATCACCATACATTATATGTATCGAAACTTCACTATGTACCCCATGAATATGTACAACTATTTGTCAATTTAAAAAAAAATGAAAAAAGTTATACTTTCTCCTGTAAATTATGCTATAATTTACATTATTAATATTTTTTCACTTTCCTTAGATTTAATAAATCATAATGTATATAAGTACTACTATAGAAAGGAAAATTTTTAAAATAGATGACCTGGTCCTGAACTTGGATAATTTAATGATGTAAGAGATAAATAACACAATGAAAGACAAACTTGAGGCTATATACCTCCTTTTAAGACCCAGGCCCACTTTTTGTTACCTTAATAAAGAGCAAACAAATCTTATGACCCTATATATCTTAATTAAATATGCTTTATTGCTAAAAAATGCTAACGATCATCTGAGTCTTCAGTGAGCTATAATCTTATTGCTGGTGGAGGGTCTTGCCTCAATGTTGATGGCAGCTGAGTGATCAGGGTGGTAGACGCTGAAGGTTAGGGTGGCTGTGGCAATTTCCTAAAATAAGACAATGATGAAGTTTGTTCATCATTTGCAATCCCTCCCCCCTCCCCCCTCCCCATAATAGGCCCCGGTGTGTGATGTTCCCCTTCCCAAGTCCAAGTGATCTCATTGTTCAGTTCCCACCTATGAGTGAGAACATGCGGTGTTTGGTTTTCTGTTCTTGTGATAGTTTGCTGAGAATGGTTTCCAGCTGCATCAATGTCCCTACAAAGGACACAAACTCATCCTTTTTATGGCTGCATAGTATTCCATGGTGTATATCACTTCTAATTTTAGTTGTCTTGCTATTATTTCTACCACATCTGCAGTGATTTCCTCCAATGATGTCTTGAACTCCTCCAAGTCATCCATGAGGGTTGGAATCAACTTCTTCCAAACTCCTGTTAATGTTGATATTTTGACTTCCTCCCATGAATCACAAATGTTCTTAATGACATCTAGAATAGCAAGTCCCATCCACAGGTTTTCAATTTGCTTTGCCCAGACTTATCAGAGCAATCACCATCTACAGCAACTATAGCCTTACAAAATGTATTTCTTAAACAATAGGACTTGAAAGTCAAAATTATTCTTTGTTCCATGAGCTGCAGAACGGATACTGTAATAGCAAGCATGAAAACAACATTAATCTCCTTGTACATCTCTATCAGGGCTCTTGGGTAACTAGGAGTATTGCCAATGAGCAATAATATACTGAAAAATGTCTTTTTTTTTCCCTGAACAGTAGGTCTCAACAGTGGGTTTAAAATACTCAGCACACCATGCTATAAACAGATGTGCTGTCATTCAGGCTTTGTTGTTCTATTTATAGACAAAAGGCATAGTAGATTTAACATAATTTTTAAGTGCCCTAGAATTTTTGGAATGGCAAATGAGCACTGGCTTCAACTTAAAGGTTCCAGGATCACTAGCCTCTATCAAGAGAGGCAGCCTGTCCTTCGAAGCTATGAAGCTGGGCATTGACTTCGCTCTAGCTATGAAAGACTAGATGGCATCTTCTTCCAATAGAAGGCTGCTGTTTCTACAATTAAAACCTGTTGTTTAGTGTAATCACCTTTATCAATTATCTTAGCTAGATCTTCTGGCTAACCTGCTATAGCTTTTATATCAGCATCTGTAGCATTACCCTGAACTTTTATGTTACAAAAATGGCTTCTTTCCTTATCATGAGCCAACCCCTCCTAGCTTCAAACTTTTCTTGTGTAGCTTCCTCACCTCTCTCAGCCTTCACAGAATTGAAGAGAGCTAGGGAATTGCTCTAGACTAGACTTTGGCTTGAGGGAGTGTTGTGGCTGGTTTGATCTTCTATTTAGACCACTAAAATTTTCTCCATATCAGTAATAAAGCTGTTTCACGTTCTTATTATTCATATGTTCGCTGGAGTAGCAATTTTAATTTCTTTCAAGAACGTTCCCTTGCATTCACAACTTGGCTATCTGTTTGGCACAAGAACCTTAGCTTTTAGCCTATCTCAGATTTTGACATGCCTTCCTCACCAAGCTTAATAATTTGTAGCTGTTGATTTAAAGTAAGAAATGCAGAACACTTCCCTTCCCTTGAACACTTCAAGGCCACTGTAGAGTTACTATTTAGACCAATTTCAATATTCTTGTAGGTCAAGGAATAGAGGGGTCCAAGGAGACAGAGAGATGGGGAAACAGCTGGTCAGTAAAGCAGCCAGAACACACACACCGGTTATCAATGAAGCTCACTGTCTTATGTGTGTGTGGTTCACGGCACCCTGAAACAATGATAACACTAACATCAAAGATCACAGATCACAAAGAACCATAACAGATGTAACAGTAAGGAAAACATTTAAAACACTGCAAGAATTACCAAAATATGAGACAGAGACAGAAAGTGAGCATATGCCGGAGGAAAAATGGCACCCAAAGTCTTACTCAACACAGGGTTACCACAAACCTTCTATACACACACACACACACACATATACACACACACACACACACACACACACACATATATATATATTCACACACATACATAATATCTGTGAAGCACAATGAAGTGAAGGATATCTGTGAAGTGCAATGAAGTGAAGCATAATAAAAAGAAGTATAGCTGCATTAAGAAGATAACAACGTCAATGTGGCAAATAAACATCTGCCTAAATTCAATTATTAGCTGGAAAGCTCAGTTTCTACCATTGACAAAAAGAGTATCAATTGTTTTTCTATGAACAGGCTCACTCCATTCATTTTTGAGAAAACACCTACCAAATAAGCATATTTAGGTAACCATAGTTTATTATCCTTCCAAGGAAAAGTGGTGATCCATGAAAACAATGGTTGGTTCAGCTCACAACTCAAAAAGTTTGCACAAGTCCTCTGCCTTGAGACAATCATTCTATTTTGTTATGTGGCTAAAGGGCTTAACATGTACTTCCTATTTCATCACAGATTATTCAAAAAAAGGGTATTCAAGGATTGAGATTTAATAAACGTAATAACTGTTAATGTCTCATCAAGGACATTCTTAAACTGTATATGTAAGAAAATGAAGAATACAATGACTACTGGTACCATTTGAAGTCACTGCCTTGATTGGCCAACATGCCAGCAGTTGTACAAATAGTATCTTAGGATGATTGTGAAGTAGCTTTGACTTGAGGACTCCCTGAAAAGGTCCTGGGATTGTCCAGGGGTATGCAGACTAAAATTTCAGAACCACTCTTACAAAACATAGCCCTCAGTGGGATTGTAAAGAATGGAGTATGAAGAGTGAGAAGAGGCAAGCAAGGAAGAAAGAAAGAGATAGTCTAGTTTTTCTGAAGACACTGCTGCATAAAGGAGCCACTTTTTCCCCCTACTTCTTCTAACATTCACTAGTATCCCAATATGGCATTTAACAGGATGCATCATTCGCAGTCTAAAGAAGTAACCTGTTTATCATCTGACCTGTGTTTTTTTATTTTTTCAGGTCTTATGAGTGACTTTCCTAGTGTGAGAAAATGTCATATCTCACTGCCCCCTTCTCAAAATCAACTACAAAAGTAGTTCTTTTTCCACCCCATTCTTATCTATTGCCTAACATTTCTCAACCTTCCCAAGGCTATGTTTATTGATCTTTACTATTATAATGTCTTTTTTGTCATCTGAAATTCTCCCTCCTCCTTCCACCTCACTTTCTTCAGGTTCTGCACCATTCCAAAAGCTTAACAGTAGTAACAATCTAATTTGAAATAAGGTGATTTTATACTTATCAGTGATCTATTTCTTTTTTCTTAAATCATCCTTGAAAAATTTCCTTAACCTGGTATAATAAAGTTGTGCTATATCACATTATCTTCCCATATATGTACTCATTAGTTATTCAATCAACAAATTAACACTCATTAAGCACATATTCTGTATCAGACACTGTGCTGCACACTGGGGGATACAGAAATAAACTGTGAACTTGAGGACAGAGAAATTTGTCAGAAACATCATGTCCTTTCAAGAAACAAATACAAGTATGCTACAGGCTAAATTATGTCCCCTCAAAGTTGATATATTAAAGTCCTAACTCCCAGTACCTCAGAACATGACTGTATTTGGGGATACGGTGCTTAAAGAAATAAAGTAAAAAAGTTGTTGCATGACTTCAAACTACTGTACCTAAAACCGTATCTATATTGATAAAAGAGGCTTCTTTTCAGTCACCCTAATCCAATCATGGGATATTGTCCAGAAGAATGGGTGAGTTACTCCAATGTACTTTTCTCTCAATCACACGGACATTTATATTTTCCTATAAGAATATTCAGTAATTGTAGTGAACTAGAAGATCACACATATTTAAATGCTGATTGAAGAGAAAGAACCAACTTCAGGAAATTTTAAGATGTAAGCAAATGTTTTTAAAAACTACCACTTGAGAGTCGATCACTTATTTAAGAGTACAAGTATTCAATATTTTCAAAAATTCATTTTTAAGTGTAGTTAAAGTCTTTACTATCACAAAAGCAATTTTTTTTAATAATCCACAAATGTTAAAATGTATGTTTTGTATAAATATTATTTGGCACATGATATATAAGAATGACTAATCAGACAATTTCAAAGGTATTTTCATGTGTTTGTGTTTTAAAATAATTAATGTAAGTTGTTTAGTATACCTTTCAACCCATACATTAATGATCATTAATAGCATTATACTTGGTGTGCTTAGGACAGAATATTACATGCACCTTTCATGATAATAATCCATGCTTCCTTAAACTACAATTTTAAGTTGACTTTAGCAGAGTTCCCCCACTGTTAAATAGACAATAAAAACATTTAATGTTTTAAGGCTTTATATGGACTAAAATCCCATTTACTGCATTTTAACAACAGAACTTTTGAAGAAAAACTTAAGACTCTGCAGCTCAGAGTCTCTTGGAATTGCTCCTACACTTATCTGATTCATGGTCTTGGCCAAATTCCTGAATAGGTTCAGCATATAACAAGTCACACCTACACAATGCCTACGCAAATGATGTAACACTGACAAGCAAGTATGTTCACATCCTAGGGAGAAAAAAAGCCACCTCCTTAATATTTCTTTGGTTGATTAACTACATAAAGATCACTATTTTGTATTTTAATATTAGGAATTAAAAGGTTTCAATGATACTCTTCTTAAAACTAAAACCCAGCGCAGACACAGCTGAGATTTCCCTGAATTTAAGGACTACATTGACAACTTTTCAGCATGTTGCTATATTTAACATGAAGATGTTACTGAATATATTTCATTATGTTATACAGTATTTTCTTTACGAAAACCCATGAGAGAAATTTCTCTGGTCTGTTTAATCTGTTTCTACCTTTAAAATACTATCAATTATAATACACTCAAATATATTAGCTACTTTATAATGGCTGCTGGAAAACTTAAGTCTTAATTTTTGACCTACTAGAAAAAGACTTACAGACCCTTATGTCATGCTTTTGTGAACAGAGTGTACTCCTGGCTTCATCTAATCTTTCCTGCTCTGCGTTTTCTGTTTCCATCATCTTCACTACTTATTTTTAATTTTATTTAGTATTCATCTATGAAAGCCTTAAATCCTTTCTGGAACAAAGCTGGAGATAAACAAAAGCATATATGAGTAAATACATACACCAAAAGACAAAGTAGGTAATTTTAATAGCTTGAAATGTTTGCCTGGTGATATTTTATTTAAGTGAAATATTTAAGCATTTATACATCTGGAATATAAAACAACTTCATCTCTGTTCTTCTAAAATTAACACCATAAAAATAGCTATAAAGTGCAAAATAGTTAAAAGAATATTGCACTTTTAGAAACTCTAAAATAAAATTGTATATAATATACATGCCTACTCTAGAGATCAGTTCTATAAACACTCCCCACCGACATCATGATCACCACCACCACCACCACCACCAATCTATTAACAGTTCCTTCTAGTTTTTCTTTCCTCAGAACACTGTTCAAGTCCCATCTCCTTGTCTTATATATCTCCTGTACCAATTCACTGCCAAGCCATAATTCATCTCGGTTTGTCCTTTTTGTTCCCTAAAAATGTTCTTTATATTTCACTTTATATTCTATAATGCATAAATATTAGGTTTCTTTAAGACGACATCTATTTTATAGTCACTAATACTGCTTATACAACTGTTGGTGAACACACCGAGCATTCAATAAATGTCTTTCCTTGGGAGGCTAAAGTGGGAAGATCACTTAAGGCTAGGAGTTCGAGACCAGCCTGAGCAACACAGCAAAACCTTGTGTCCAGATTTTTTTTTTAATTAGCTGGGTGTGGTGGTGCATGCCTGTAGGAACAGCTCCTTGGGAAGCTGGGGATGGAGGATCACTTGAGCCCAGGAGTTCAAGGCTACTGTGAACTACAATCATGCCACTGCACTACAGCCTGGGTGACAGAGCAAGACCCCATCTCTAAAACCCAATAAAATAATAAAATAAAAATGTATTTACTTTAAAATGTTCCAGAGCACTATAAATAATCTATGTTCAACTGCCTTATTTTCCTCCTTTAAAACTAAATCTCAGCCACTTGAAATTAATAGTTTCTCTTCATCTTTCTCCCCTTAAATTGTGGTTGGTGCTGTTTTTCTCAAGGCTGTTACTATGTGTATGTAATATTTTTCATGTATTAGATGTTAGGTATATAAAGGTCAGGAACCAGACCTATACACTTCTTTTCTAAAACCATGTTATTAAGTGATTAATAAACAACTTTAGTAATGACTATAATAGTTAATCTTACTCAATTTTGCTTTCTGCCTTGAAATGTAAGCTCTCTGAAGACTTAAATTTGACACAAACCACGTATCACCCAGTAACTACCCTCGTTCTACTTTACACACCCTTGTTCTACTTTATTTTAACAGATGATAGACGAATTCATACATGAATTAAGATATAAATTCTGATTTCTGTGACACAGCTAAGAAATGTAGATTAAATTACCAGGAGAGAACAAGCTGTATTCATGCCAGCATGTGAGCAAGGAGATAGGAATACCATTTTTTTACAAAAATCAAGCTACTTTGATTTAGGCAGCTAATAGAGTATGCTATATTTTTCCCTAGAAAAATCAGTAAACCTAGGGAATTGGAAAACCTTGATTGTTATAGAGAAGTACAAAGAAATGGTAATAAAAGTACAACAGAAATGAAAGGAATAAAATTAAAGAATTACCTTTGTGTGCATCCTTTCAGGAGTTTAGAAACAAATCATTAATCAGATTTCTACGCGTGTGTTCACTTTTTTTTCGCTAAATGTTTAGAAGAGAAACAAATGGGGAAAAAAAAGTATTCATTACCTTTCCAAATGACCCCTGACCAAGAACCTTGAGCAACTCAAACTGTGCAGGATCTGCTTTCTCATAGCCTTCCTTAACATGATGAGTAATAGGGATTTCTTTAACAACTCCTTCATCCTGTAAAAAGAAATCCAAACAATATTTGAATCCATTTTCAACATCTTCTGATTAGTTCCATTTAAAATCAGAAGTCATAATAGAAATAATATACCCAACTCCCTCAATGTAGCAGAGTTTTATGGGCTACCAGTATCCTTATTTCCTTGTTTTCTAACACATACAGCACATACAGATGCACTACCACCACCTTCCCTACTACATAATTTCATGTAAATAAAATGTAAAAAGAAATCTATGCTTCAGCTTTCCCTTCCAGCTTGGGAGCAATATAATAAAATTATTAACAACAGTCTCAAGACCCTTCACTGGACTGTGACTAATGAGGTAGAGGCAGGAAAAGTCAAGAAAAAACCTTGTAAATTATGGGGCATGACCAAAAAATGTGACCTCAAGAGCTCTTTTAAATAGTATTTCACTATACTATTTTAAATGTTTAAATGGTCAACTAACCACATCAATGAAAAAGAAATTGGCATAGACCAACAAAATCTGCACAGCCCAAACAAATGTTTCCAAGCTATGTCCCGTTTACTGAAATTTTATATATAAATTATATGCCAGATTTCGTACCACCTGGGTGAAGCAGAAAGGATGCCACCCAGTGAGTGGTTCTTCCCCCTGATGCAGGACTCCACTCAGCTGTGATGACTACATTCAAGTGAGCTGTAATTAATTCCAGTCCCTAGAGAAGCACAATAGCTAAGATGACAGATGTATATCACAAAATAACAGAGTTGGAAGGGATATCTTATCCAACTCTCTGACTGTATAAAGAAGAAAACTAAGACTCACAGAATTTAAGTTTACATGACTACTTAATCACAATGTCTATAAATCTTGGTAGCATTCCATTAGAGCATACTAATTTTAGCCTGGATGCCAACAACGTTCTCAATCTATTCACTCTTCAATTAACTGATTAGTCAATGGTGATTGTAGCCAAAGTGAACAAGAGCATGGTCCCAAATGAGCAAGACTTCATGGCAGCTAAAATAAGGTCCATGGAATATAGGTAGTCAGACATTCACTATCTCAAGAGGGGTACCTAGGCAAAGAAATTTTAATTGTAGGTGTCAGGAACCACTAGCAAATCAACAAGAAATGACGAATAACTGATTCTGAAAGTTTATCATGTGTTTCTTATACATCAAAATAGTATTTCACCAGACCCTTTTAAATAGTGATGGCAATTTATAAACGTTTTCTGAAAACAAAAATTAAATTAAAATCAATCTGCTATGGAAGTGAATTTCCCTGTTTGAAAGGGTCCCTGTTTTAAAAAGTCAACAACTTTTTTTAATGCAAATATATATGCTTTGTAGCTGACATCTGCGGACTATATTAAAGTATAATATACCTGTACGTGCCTATAAGCTAAGAAACCTTAGCTAAATCACAAACCACTCTCTCCTTCAGTTTTCTCACATGACAAAGGGGTTTTGTTACATGGGTCTCTAAGGTCCCCTCAATGTCTGTGACTCTATATTGAACACAATATAATATTTTTTATGTTCAAGAAGGTACTTCAGGTCCCTGCTTATGTTTAGATTATCACTATAAGCATGGATCATAATGGCATCAGTTTTTTTATAAGTGTTCAGAGTTAGGAAACGAATTGTACTCTAGTTAGTTTCACCAAACCTAAGCAGGTTTTCCAAATGAAAATGTCCAATGCCCTTTTACCTTTTATTAATAATCCACACATGCCCATCCTCTAAAATGCAACGTCTTTCAATTTTCAGCAGCAGTACCCTAAAAAGTTCCCAATATGAAAATGCAACTAGATGAGAAAAATCACTTTTCCCAGGAGACAGCCAACATAAAATGTTACACTGTATCCTAACAACTAATTACTGTGTCTTTCTTTCCCACTGGACTGTGGGCTTCTTAAATTCAGGTATTATATCACATTGATCTCTTTATTCCTAATGCTTAGCACAATACTTTTTTGATCTCATGAGAGCAGAAAGACAAAGAAATCTGCTCAATGTTATAAAAGAAACAGGAAAAAATACATACTTTTTAAAACGAAGATAGTGTTTACCACCAACAAATAGGGCAACTGTGAGATGATGGATGTTAATTTGCTTAATAATAATAATTTTACAATGTATGTGAAAACACCCCATTGTACACCTTAAATATATACAATAGAAAAGAAAGATTTTAAAGGTAAAATTAGTAAGAAATCTCAAAATTATTCTTAAATACAGTCTACAAAACAAAATACATATATACCCACAATTTCTTTTTTTAAATATATAAAGGAAACAAGGAAACAGGAGATTCTGGCTAATGAAATTGTGTCAGCTTTGAATATAACTAACTTTGTGATAACGATATTTCTAAATAAAATAAGCAAATCTTCCCATACACTGTGAAGAATATAAACTTTTTCCATATTATCCACTGTCAGTATTTTTATTACACTGTGCTGAGTATGTGTTGTACTCAACACAAATAAAGGATACAATAACCCCTGAATATTGACTTAATGCTTGGCCATTTGCCTTTTTAAATAAAGACATATGTTCCTAGGACAACAACTACTACTACATATTATATCCCTGAATTATGACTACTGTGCCTTCACACAGACAATTTGTAATGCCCTGGTTGCCCATAAGAATCACCTGTAGAAGAAATATTTATTTACTACACTTGTTTGGGTCCCACCCTCAGAGATTGTGGTTCAGTAGAACTATAGGAGGATGTAAGCATGTGTATTTTTTAAGCCTCCCAAGTTGATTCAGACACATGGCCAGGATTGAAAAACAATATTTGGGTGCTTCTAAGATTCATAGTTATATAGATATATAATAGATATACACACAAATATATACACATATGCGCATACATGTGTGCACACACACATATACACATGTGTGTATGTGTTTATATATAGTGACTTATTACTTTTATCATTTCTATGCCAATAGCTCTTTTTTACTCTCAAAGTATGTGATATCCTCCTGTGTCACCATTTCCAATACTTATTCTGTCTTACTCCATCTGCTCCCTGCCCCATTCTTGTCTATTGCCTAAAATTTCTCAGCCATCCCGAGGCTATGTTTATTGATTTTTTACTATTATAATGTCCTTTTTTGTCAACTGAAACCCTCTTTCTTCCCTCCACCTCCCTTTCTTCAGGTTCTGCACCATTCCAAAAGCTTTATAGTAACAACAATCTAGCCTGAAATAGGTGGTAATGTACTTACAAGTGATTTATTTCTTTTTTCCTAAGAATAAATCATCCTTGAAAAATCTCCCTATCCTGGTATGATAAAGTTGTGCTATATCACCTTATCTTCCCATATATACACTCTTATTATTCACCCAGCAAATCAACATTCGTTAAGCACATATCCTATTATCAGACACTGTGCTGCACACTGGGGATACAGAAATAAACCGTGAATTTGAGGATAGAGAACTTTGTCAGAAACATCACATCCATCAAAGAAACAAAAAGCTACAAGTATGCTATGGGCTAAATTATGTCCCCTAAAAGTTAATATATTAAAGTCCTAGCTCCCAATACCTCAGAACATGACTGTATTTAGGGATAGGACCCTTAAGGAAGTAATTAAGGTAAAATGAGGCCATATGGGTGGGTTCTAATCCAATATGACTGACATCCTTATAAGAGGAGGAAATCAGAATACCTACAGCCACAGAGGAATGACCACGTAAAGGCACAGGGAGAAGACTCATCTATAAGCTAAGGAGAGACGATTCAGAAAAACCAACCCCGCCAACACCTTGATCTCAATCTTACAGAATGCAGCATCTTGGGAAAATAAATTTCTGCTGTTAAAGCCACCCATCTGTGGTTATTTGGTTAGGGTAGCCCTAGCAAACCTATACACGGTACATAATCTTAGTTGATCTTTGAAAACAATGTTGCTACTGTGAAATGAAGATTTAATAATCTCCAAATAAGGACCCCTAGTCTTTCTATATCAAATAACAAATCTGAATCTGAGGCCAGGAAGACTATGAATTAGGTTTTATTATTTTTTCGCAACCATAAAGTTATCAGTGATATATAGAAGAAGTATGAAGGCTCAACCACAACCAAAATAGTATGCTCTGACCTCTATAATCTGTGATCATCTTTTTAATCCAGAGGGCCAACAGTGCTGTAACACTGGGAAAACACACTGTTAAAGTACAAAATGAACTGTCAAATCTACTATTGCTCCATTCATTTGATAACTGATTTGCTTAGGAAGATGGAATCACCTGTTAATTGAAAAGAGAAAAAGCTGATGACAACCTAATAGCAATACACTATAGCTCAATTACAACAGTTTTCATATGACTGTGGAACTAACCTCCAGAAAACAAATCAAAACAAAAGAAGCATTTTTAAAGCCTGAACTTATTCATTTTTATTTAATAATAAAACATTCATCTATTCAAACATCTGCTTTATTTGTAGGTACACAGGCCAGTTTGGTGAAAAGATCACCCTAAAAATCCAAGAATCATTTAGTTGTGGATTTGTTGAAACATATATGCAAAGACTCAGAAGAGCAGCTTGATATACCCTTCTCATTCACTGAATAATATCGGGTCACTGAAAACCATGTCAAATATTAGCAAACTTTGAAAGAAAGCTAAGAGTAATATCAGTATAAATGCCAAAATGCCACGAGGGTGAACTAAGCACATCAAAATTATGTACACAATGGAAGGTATCTGCAGAAGACTTAGGTTTGTAAAAGTTTGCATTGATGACTGAAAACCAAAGAATGCTGGCAAACTAGTTCCCACTTGGTTTGGTTTATTCTACTTACAAGGGTCAGCTCCTTAGTTCCCTCATCTACAAATTGGCAATAATACCTACTCTACTTCAGATCTCAGTCATACGGATCAACTGAGAACTCTGAAACCCACAAAACATCCATAAAAATTGAAGTTACTGAACTTATTTGTACAGATGTTCCTGGACTTATGACAGTGTTGTCCCAATAAACCTATCGTAAGTTGAAAATGCACTTTCAACTTACAGTGAGTTTATCCAAACATAATCCTATTTGAAGTTGAGGAACATAATGAATATCACTTTTGTATCACTATAAGGTTGAAACTCATAAGTTGAACCATCCTGAGTCAGAGACCCTATGTACCACTTATCTTTGCATACCTGATGGTGCAGCATAACTCCACTTTATAGTGGCTAACCAACATTTTTTAGTTGAACAATAATTATTCATCTGAGAGTTTTGCATATCTATAGGACAAGGGTTCCACTTTTTTAAGTAACTGAATAGAAATTAGAAGTAAACACCAGCATTGCAAGAGAAAAAATACTGAAGTATAGTAAGGCTAAATGTGCATCAGAATAGAAAGACAAATAGAGGAAAAAAATATACACCATACAGGAAGCAGGCATTCTCAGCTTGAAATAGTTCCCACCTGTGGTTCCACTGAGTCTAAGTAAAACACACTTGTAAAAAAGTATTTTTGAAATAATTCTTAAGAGATACATGTCAAGAATAGTTTTTAAAATAAGAAATTCACGGCTTAAAACTATCAGGATATCAGATTTGTTTTTCAAAATATACATTTTCAGATAACTATGACATTTATATCTCTGCATAATAAAAATATAAATCACTTTAGAGACTAAACATGTTGCTGACCTTGCACTAATGTAATCAACAAAGAATCTAATTGCTAACTGAATCTTCTTTGAAATTTTAAGGATATTGATAGCATTAAAAATATGTATTTTATTTCAGGAAAAACAGATACTGGGTAGAGTTTTAAAAAAAAATACAAATGGATCATAAACTACCAAATATAAGACAGCTATGCTTATTTTGACAACAAATAAAAAATTAACTCATGTTAGCCAACTACTAAAGGACACAAATCATAACATATTTTTTCTAACCTTGACATTGAAAGAAGTAGGAGACTAAGTGGTGAAATGTGATATTAGATATAGTTTACCAGCGGCCTGTTACCAAATACTTACCATCACAGAGCAGTCTCTACAATCTTACACTATTTTAAAAGGGTTAAAAAAAAAAAAAAAAAGGCCAACCACAAAAAAAATACACGGCAATCACAAAGAAAAAAAAAATCCTAGCTAGCTATATATTTAAAAATTTTAAGGGATAAATATATATGGTGTTTTTAATCACTCATACGGTTTTATCGACACAAATTGAGTACTTTAACCATCACACACCCAAAGTACATGGTTTCAAGTCCAGATAACTCAGGCCACAAACTAAATCAAATCCTTGGAAGTGATTCTAGGTCCTTTACTCTCCAAAATTTCACACTGTACCTTTTAGCCACTGAAGTTGATTGCATAAGGTAGATCATATAAGTAACTAGCACTGTATACTTTTACTGCCTTTCCACTGAAAACTGAACTTCCTGACTTATCTTCTGTTAAAATTATAAAGGTAAATATTTGCCAATCACCCTGTGTATGTGTCCTTGAGTTTATGCACCACACACACTGTTCCCCTGTGGTGTGAGGCATGATGTCCTTGTGAATTTATTAATGCTAAAATATAATAAGCAGCCTTCTCCACTGTCTTTAATAGTTCCTTATACTCCTTTATCTTTTATAAACTGGCAACATTAATATTACCATGCCTATTAGTCCGTATGATCTGTAGACAAATCTCTAGATAATGGTTTTGATAGTTTACATTTAATTATACTCAAAATTACAATATATTATTAATATTAAGTAAAATGCAAAAGCTACAAAGACAACATTGCATCTCTCATCTTGTCAATCAAAATTAAAAGTGTTGTTACATGGTTACTATCTGCAGAAATAGTTACATAGAACATTTCAAAGGATAGTTTTGGACAAACCCAATTTAAATCCTTCTGCTGGTTTCTACTGAGCTAATTCCAATTATGAACAAGTTTTGGTGGAGGGGTCATCAAAGTTGATTTCATCCACAACCAAACAGAAAAAGGATAATGTTCTCCTTATCTTCTACTTCTTTGGGTCTACACAACATATCTGACCGAAAAGGAAGCACACTGCCCTAAGTCTTGATTCCGCTACTAGCTAGTTTTATCACCTAGTATAAATCACAGACTCTCCAGGTTTCATACAATGAAGTATTACATAATATCTCTGAGGTTCTTCCCAGCTTAAAAAATCTATAACTCTATGAAACTATCTATAGAAATAACAACCATGAAATAACAACACAAATGGAGATGCTGATTTAGTCAGACTCTCCCTAAAAGTCTTAAGAATACTCTCTGTAAAACTAGATCTTGTAAAATAAGACTCTAGTATATAGGCATTACATAGAATGGTCCAATGGCTAAGCAGTCTTTAAAACTAGTTAGAAACTTCTGAAATAATTTACATGTAATCCTTTCTAAAAGCCAGGAAATGGATTTTAAATGATTTCAAGTTATGCTTATATAGTGCAGTATTTCCAAGTCAGATATCCTTTCTACCCTGAGGTTGAAGATAATCTTCTCAAAGGATTCTATATTTAAGTATAACAATTCAGTTACTCCTACACTGGCAAGTGAAAATTTTATCCATTACACTTAAGAATTCAATAGCATGTAAATTATGCCTCAATAAAGCTGTTTATTTTAAAAAATGCATGCATAAGTATTTCTGTCAGGAAAACCTGTCCTATATTTTAAACTGCGGTTGAGTTATTAATAATTCCATTTGCCTATTACCAACTTACCTGAATATGTTTGTTTGATAGGAGCTTTTCTCCTTTCCCTTTATTCTTTTTCCTTATATGCTAAAAAAGAGGCTTAATGAATTAACATAGATACTTACATGACAAGAATCTGCTTCTCCCTCTTCCATTGGCTCATCAACCATTTTAAGACCATTTACCTGAAAAACATTGTTCAAAAATTGAGGTTCAAGAGTATTAAAACAAGAGTGATAACTAAGAAAAATATAACCCTAGGCATTTCCTTCCACAATCTAACAAGATCCACACTTACTGAAAAACAAAAGGACAAAGGACACATAGAAGTACTTAGAAAAGGAACACTATTAACATGGTTCCCAGATTCTCCTTGAGAAACTTTGACTTTCAGAGCTTTATGCTTAATTTCATATTGTTTACAGATCTGCAATAACAGATAACTATATACTAAGTATATAACCTATGTACTTTCATTAAATTGTCCCCAACCAAGTATTTATGAAAGGAAAAAAAAAGCCACAGAAATCTACCTACCATGCGGGTATATTCAAAGCAAATTATAATAAGAAGAGTTTTATATAATTGCACTGTTGTGAATTCCTCTTTCATTCAGTTAATTAAACATCATGAGATACTATAAAGAAGAAAGAATAAACTATAGGAGGAAGATATAAGTAATCATGGAAACAAAATAATTCAACATGCAGAGCTCAGTAGGTAATATTACTCACTTTTTAACCACTAATTCAAGAAACAGTAAAGTAGAGGACTTAGATCAAGGTTCTACAAACTATAACCCATGAGCTAAATCTGACCTCCTGTCCGTTTCTGTAAAACTTTTACTAGAACACAGCCAGACCCATTTTTTCCATCTTATCTATGGCTGCTTTTGCACTACAACAGCAGAGTTGACAAGTTGTGACAGAGACCCTATGCCTGCAAAGCTTAAAATATTTCCTATCTGCACCCTTACAATCTGCCAAACACTGACCTGAGATGTTTGAAAATTAGGTAACAGGAAGACGACCCAGATAAAAAGGATTTTAACCACTGCCTATTTGTAAGTCAACAGAAAAAAAAAATTAAAAAGTAAATTAGAGTTTCTTGTGACAGTCAAAATGAAATAAGTTCATAAGCCTATCTCTCCCCTGATTATAAACTAAAATCCTTATATAGAATACAAAAAGAAACTACCTAAGAATTCCTAAAATGAAACAATAACAAATTAATTAGGGAAAATCAAACTTTGAAAACTAACTCTGATGAATTCCCTAGGTTTATTTTCCACCTTTATCTCCTGAATTTGACCCGAGGAGAGAATAAGTCACAAGATTACACAGTAGACATCAACAAAAATTCCAAGGAAAATCCCATTCTCTACACAAAGGACCAGGAAAAGACGTACTTTTGAGCCTGTAAACATAAGGAGAATCCAAGATTCTCCATGTACACACTTTCTCTTTTTTGATGCTGAGCCCAACTCCAAGGCAAGCCCTGATCAACAGAAAATCCATCTTTTTGGCCAGAGGAAGCAGGAAAAGAGGTCCCTATTATAAGAAAAATGTGAGGGTAATCCCTGTTAATTTTTGTTTTCACTCTCTTCTTTACTTCATCCAAAAGGCAGCTCCAATAGTGTAAAGTTATATTACAGCATAAAAGGCTAAGACTCTGAGAGAAACTCATATTTCTGTCCAGCAGAACAGAATAAAGGGCCCATGGGAATTGAAGAATGTGAAAGAAATCAGAGACGACAGAATGAAGACAGCAGATCCCTAATTCTGTGTATGAACCAACACAAGTCCTGGTCACAACAACAAACTGTATGTGTGCAGAAAAGCCTAAAGAAACAACAAAGTCTTTGAGTACTGAACTACAATACCGATAATTGCTCGTCTCAGACTAACCACTGAATTAGCACATCCAATGAGTGGCACATGCAGAGTGCTGACCCAAACTCTCCGAAAACTGAATTAACATTGGAACCATTATCCAGAGAGGACAAGATATAACTTTGGAGTCAACCTAACTAGGTAGACTGCCTGCTGAAACAAACAAACAAATCATCAACAAGTATCAACTCCAAGATGGCTCCAAAGTTGAACTATCTGACAAGAATCTTAAAGCAGCTATTATAACTATGCTTTTCTGGATAAAAATAAACACACCTGAACGAAATGATAAAAGGTTCTCAGCAGAGAAATGAAAACTACAAAAAAAAGTAATTCTAGAACTAAAAATCATAATATATGAAAAATTTTAAAAATAATGGATAGGCTCAATAAAAGAATGGAGGTGGCTGAGGAAATAAAGTTTAAGACAGATTAACAGATGTCATCCAATATGAAGAAGACAGTGAAAATGAGGAAAAATAAACAGAGCCTCAAAGACATATGAAACACTATCAGACATTCTAAAATCCATGTCATTAATATCCCATAAAATAACAGAGTAATACTGAAAAAATCACTTAACAAAATAAAGCCAATCCCATTCATATGAAATAATGAAAACAGGGAAATGTATAGACACAGAAAGCAGACTAATGTTTGGTTAGGGGTGAGGTATGTGGAGACACAGGTCATAGCTAAAGGGTACAATGTTCCTTTTTGATGTGATGAACTTTTAAAATTCACTGTTGTGATAGTTGTATATATTTGTGAATATAATAAAAAGTATTGGACTGTATATTTTAAATGGGTGAATTATATGCTATGTGAATTTTATCTCACTAAAGCTGTATTTTCAAGATAAATAATGGCTGAACATTTTCCAAATTTGGAAAAAAAAAAAAATACAGTTTCAAGAAGTTCAGTAAACCCCAAACAGAATAAAATTAAAGAAATCCACCCCAAGACACGCCTTAAGTAAACTACTTTAAACCAAAGGAAAAATTGGTAAAAAATATTGAAAGGAGTGAGAGAAAAACCACACATTACACAAAGGGGAACACCAAACTGAAAGACTGCAGATTTCTCATAAGAAATCATGGAGACCAGAAAACAGAGAACATTAACCTGAAATCATTGGAAACATGTTAAGACACAAATCTGTACATACATTTTAACAGCAGCTTTATCATTGTCATAAATTGGAAACAATCAAGATGGTCTTCAACTGATGAGTGGATAAATAGAATACTACTTTTTACTCATCAATAAAAAGAAGAGAACTGTTGATACTTGTAACAACATCGATGAATCTTAAAAGCATTTCTGCTAACTGAAAGAAGACAAATCCAAAAGGCTAAATATTATATGACTTCATGTATAAGATACTTTGAATAAAGCAAAACTGTAGGGAAAGAATTAAGATAATTGGTTCAACTGGTTGGGGGTAAAGGAAGATATCACTCAGCAATTAAAAAGAATAATATATTGATACATTCAACAACATGGATGAATCCCAAACACATTGTAAAGAAAAGGAGCAAGATTCAAAAGGCTACATTCTGTAGGATTCCATTTATATGTTATTCTGGAAAAGGTAAAACTAAAAGGAAAGGAGAAGAAATTAGTGGGTGCAAGGAGTTAGGGATAGGGGAGAGGCTGACTACAAAGAGGCATCATATGGGAAGAGTGTGTGTATGTGTGTGTGTGTGCTGGGGAGGGTGGGTTATCAAACTACTCTTTATCTGGATTGTGGTGATGGTTACACAACTCTATACATTTTTTAATCTCAGAACTCTACATGAAAAAGAGTGAATTTTACTATATGAAAAATTAGAAACCAATTTATTAAAAAGTAAATTAGCATTATTTACTCAACTAGCATCTTTATTCTAAAAAAATCCCATTGAAAACCAGCAATGGTCAATAAAGTCAGTAATGGTGTCTACTTTGCTAACGGATCCATCAGTCATTATCTTATTTGATCTCTCTGCAGCATGTCACAGGTGACCACTCTCCTATTTGAGTCTTTAGCTTCTGTAATACCATACACTCATTTTATTTTACTCCAATTTCCTTTGCTGCTTTTTTTCAATACCCTTGAAACACTGTAATTCCTCAGGAAATGGACTAGGATCACCTTCTCATCCCACTCCACAGTCTTTGCCCAGGCAGCTAATTTACTAACATGATTCACGTTTACTCAGTGACTAACTCTCAGTTCCTGATCCATATATCCAACTGCATATTTGACATTTCCACATGTTTATCTCAGATGTCTCTCAAAAATAACCAATACAAAAAGGAATTCTTGACCCCTGCTTCATATCTGCTCTTTCTTCAGGGTTTCCCATTTCATTAAATGATAAAACCATCTACCACCTTAGCTCAACAAAACAGATTATGTGAGATTAAAAAAAACAAAACTGTGACAGATTCATCGTAAGCATATAGAAAGAAGAGCATTCAGAAAAACAGTGCAGAAATCAATATTAAGACAGAATCATGATAATTAAATTTTTGCCATAAAATGACTTTCAGAATTATCCATAGAAAAAAGGATTATGCATAGAAAGAGGATTATCCATAAAAAAAGAAAAATATTGCTTTCCTCTGTTACCTTAGTTACTGGTTACTTCCTATACATACCATCTTATGACTAATTTATCATGAAGCTGTGGGTCTGAAGGAACTAGAAATAAAATGAATGTGAATGAGTCAAGAAGATCACTCTATCCTGGAAATTATTTCAGTCAGAAATGGCCTTTAGAAACAGAACACTCCATTACTCCCATCTCATCTACCCTCAAGGTACCAGGTTTTCAGTATAAGAATATTCATCCTATGGAGAACCACACTGGATATTCATTGATATTTACTAAAATTTAAATCATTTTCATCCACATAAAAACAAAAATAATTTCTGAATTCTCTGGGACAATAAATCTTTATTTCAAAAATAAAATTTGTAATTTAAAAAGATAAGCAGACATGCTGCTTTCCCCTTTAGTGCCAAATGGTAAGAAAAAAAATCTACATATGATTCTGGAATGTTTACCAGCAATAATAAAGGTAGTAATAGTTTACTCACATATTTCAAAATCCGAGTGAACAGACTCTCGTACCAGGGCTTAGAGAATAATACTTTAAAAATTATTTTCACATTTTATCAGAAAAGACTTAAATCACTTCCAAGTATGCTGGACAAACAGAAATACTAAACTGAGTTGTTGTAGTCATCTGATCTCAGAAAATCACATAGGTCAGTTCGAATCTATTGCTTTCTTACTACTATT